GCATCTTGCGACCTCAATTTGATTGTGGCGATAATCGAATCTCGTCGTGAAAAAGGGCACTCCATCATTCTTTGCAACTTCTCCTGTCTGGGACGAAGTGGGAGCCCAGTTCTTCTTTAAAGAAAAACGGAACACCTCGAAAACCATTCACGAGCTCATGACTCTTTCACGATTGCATTTCGAAACTGGCAATCCAACATCGAGCCCATCACGGCCTCCAACAAGTCAAGGAAGGCAATTATCATAACCCACACAGACGAACATGCAGAAGCAGAGCCGCACAACGAAATCAATTACATTGATTTCGTTTAATATTACATGAATAAAGTGGCGAAATGGAGATCGATAACCCACCGATACGCCCGAGTCACACCAAAAGGAGACACCAGTCGCATGCCGACCTGGCCTTGCATGCTTTGCGACAGAGACCGTCGATATGTTCTACCTCCTACCTTTGGACAACGAACTACCGTTATGTCATGCATTCAAGATATGTCAGAACCATTACCAATAAATAAAATACATGAAATAAAATAAATACAATAAAGAGGTATTGTCCTGAAATAAATGCTCTAATAATACCCCCCCCCCCGATTGAACCCTGGCGATATCGCAATATCGGGCGATATATAGGTCGGCGATATCTATACTTTAAAAATGAACATCGCCCAGCCCTATTTATACTAGTACATTGAATGTCGTGTTCTGTGAGGTTTTGCATTGGAAATAAAGTACAATATTTAAGTCAATTTCGAAAATGTATAAAACTTCTACATGTTATGCAATAAAAACCAAGAGACAACACTTCAATAGCTACCGTTCTAGGATGGAGTTTAAAACATTTTTTCTTTAGACTATATACCTGGAGGATATTAAGTATGTTTGGTAACATTTACAAATCGCTGCATTGTCATGCGGGACTTACAGATCACAACTCCTTTTTTGTGTTCTATGCAGCATTTAATTTAGAAAACAAAACCAGCCCTCCTTCATTTATACATTGCTTGTGACCTTAATCCATCCTACAGGACTGCTGAATGAGATGCCAGGGTTATGTCGAATATATTATTGCTTCTCCCCTCTAATTGGGTTCTGGGTTGTCTATCTTTTAAAAACTGTATATGAAGCATTTGTGTGCTGAGCTACTGGATGAACTAAGATTGAACAGTGGTTAATAATGGCCGATGGAAGTCGTGAAATACAAACACATCGTGCACCGATATCCCTCAGTTAATATGAAGGCGTCAAGCATGCTGTTGAATTTAGGAGCCATTCTCTCCTGAGAGCTCGCTGTGACGGTTCGAGAAACTTATAATATTCCTAATTGTACAAGTCTGCACGAATATGGTTCACTAAGCAAGAAACAAACCCATAATCCGTTTAACGTTTCCTTTTTTATATGAAATTATTTATATGAAATGTCTCGAAAACCCCAATATTGACATCCTTTGCCTTAATTCCCAGTTGAGGATTCATCAAAAAAAGACAGGTCATGGCTTTACCTCAAGAAATTCCACAGGTTAGTCGAAGGACTAAAAGTGCTGGGCCCCACAGAGAAAAAGACATGTGCGGTATGGCGAGGTTTTTCAGGGAAATTATTTTTAGGCAACATTGCATAATCATTAATACAAATACACATATTCGAGAGGACATCGGAATTTCTGCCGGAATTTCTGCCAGAATTTTGTGATAAATTCCATTTCCGGTTGTGTTAGTCTCATGTTAGTTACTTATAGTGCCACCCTCTTTCATCTTTCATCAAGAACTTCTCTGAAAGTTTTCATGATTGAATCATATCTTCCTGAAAGTGACGTCTACACTTTCAGGAAGATATGATTTCAAAATATATTTTTTAAAAAGACCGGTGTGAGACTACTTTACGACCCGCGGCTTTACCGTACTTCCCTGCGTTTCCGAGATTATCTCGTTTTGCCAAAGAAAAAATTGTTTTTCTAGCTTACTTGAAAATTCCTTTTGGAAGTCTTCTGTGAGCCGTCCCCCTGGAAGGTTCACCACTAGAACTTCTCCAGTAGGGTCTTCCCTTGCTAATCGCTTGGCTCTTTCCTTCACCACGATGGTCTTTCCAGTGCCTGATCCCCCTGCAAGAAGGAGGGGCCTAGATGACCTATCGTCAACAAGTCTTTTCTGCTCAGGAGTCAAGATGCACAAGGTCCTCTCTATTTGCTTGTTGCTGGCTTGGAAAAGCTGGAGATAAGTCCGTGGCATGTCAACCGAAGAGGATGCACAGATGTAGAGAGAAATGATTTTCTGAAACAATGTCTTGGCACGATGTGTGCATTCAGCACCCCTTGCAGACGGTGGGGGCAAGCCGTTTTTATGCAGAAAATTTCGTAGGGCATTCGAATTCTGGAGATCCTCTCTTGTCAACACCATATTCTCACACTTACTACATTGAAGATTATCGTGCAATTGTCCTCGGTCGATGAACGGGAAGGACGGGAAGGCGGCAACTTTCGCAGCAGGTTCAAGGAACGAACCACACACCGTCTTGAACACGGCAATGTCTTTATCGCACATCAACTTAACTTTTGTCATGTTTCTCTTGATTGTTTTTCGATTTAATTTCAAGGAAGCCTCTTGTCTCGTTTGGAAGAATACATTGTACACCTTATCTACACTAGTGTACGAAAAGAAAATGTGATGAGAACCTTCTTTCAACTCCGGAATGTCTTCGTCTTTTTTTAATTCCTCTTTTTCCCCAGGCAACATATTCTTAAGGGTTTCATTGTATGCATCATTAAATGTCTCCGAAAACACGTAGTTTGCAACCACCAAAGATGGAGAAGAGCCACAGGTGTCTTTTAATCTATTAAAAACGACAGCAACTGCTTCTTGTTCTAGAGGAGAGTCCATAACGTCTTTCCCGTCGGATTTTTTGAGCTCCTCCTTCGCCTTAGAAAGGAGGTCGTCGAAGTCCTTGCCGTTCAGCAGGAGACCAGACGGGAGAGAATAGTGGCATTCCCCTGCATTAGAGTAGTGCTCTTGGATGTATAGCTCGGCTCCTTCTATGAATGATATGTCGTTGTCGCCTCCTGTGCAAATCTGGAACGAGAGCAATTCATTACGCATAATCATTCAGATTCTTTCAAAATTCAGAGTGGTGCCCAGAACAGAATGTTCCCATGATACTGGCAGTATGATGCACGATCGTACTTCCATTTAATCAGAGAATATGAAAGTTCGTGCACTGCGCACTTAATGATTCGCATTTGGGCCTTAGTAGCTATACCTCATCCAGGAAATACCTTGAGCAAAGAGTCAATCAGCGAATGTATCAGGGGACCGGAAAGTAATGATTTTTGTATACCAAATGTAAACGTCATTTATGATGTTATTTCGTTTGTTTTGAAATGAATTCATTCATTAATCTAAAAAACCGTTATTTGTCATTCATTTTCGATATTTGTCATTCATTTTAAATCTTCTTCAGCAAAAATGTCTGACCACATTCCCGAAGAGATCCAAATAATACATTTTATGTTCTATGAGTTTCGCAATGGAAGTAAGGCAACGGAGGCCAACAAAAATATTTTAGGTGATTATAAAGATGGATGGCCGCAAATGCCTGGGTTGGTTCTGCAAATTCCGGTCAGGCGATATTGACCTCTCGGATGGCCATCGTTCGAGAAGACCGGTAGAGCTGTGGAACGATCTCCTGAGGTCGGAGGCTTAGTCAGACCCGAGTCAAACCATCCAACAATCGGTAGAAAACTTAATTATTCGTGGTCTCGTGTTCAAGAACACCTTCAACAGATCGGAAAGATCCCGAGAAAGACTGATGTCCGATTTGTGGGGTGGGGCTGCCGCAGAGCCAGCTGCTGGAACCTGTATCACTGGCGTTTAGGGAGCGGAGGCATGGACAGTTCCTTCGGAACTTCTTCTAGACCTAGCCCTAGTCTCTTCGAAGGCAGAGAACGAAAACCAGCCGTGTGGTTTGGGGCTCCGTCCCGAATCAGCGCGGCCTTTCCTTTTTCTGAGCAGAATGCACGGATCTCTATGGGGCCCGTCTGAATAAGCAGGATGTTTTCCCTGTCAGAAACTACTGGAACAGTCTGTACAATATAAAAAAGTCTCTACTTTCCTAAGCCCTTTTTCAATGATACTCTGGATCCCATTTGGGAAAATCGTTGAATCAAAGGTACAGTAATTGAATGTCAAAAGTGCATGAAAGTACGTCTCTAAAAATAGGCTTTGTGAAACCTGGCCAGTACAATTCACCTTTGAAGGGGTTTTCATAATATTTTGTATAATACGAATCTCTGTTTTGAATGCAAAGTGTATAGACTGCCATGCTGAATGACATTACGCCCTATTTTGCAATTGTGGCGTTTCCGCTGCATAATCCAATGGATTTTCATGCGTTTCTTGCAACTTCTGACATGACTTTAAGCTCTTAAGTGAATATCCCAGCCTGAACCTATGTACTCCCGCTGAAATTATATTCCACGAACGAATAATTTCGATTCTAGCATCCCTGGCACAGACCTTGCGTTCATAACACTGACCTTGAGGTTCTCACGGATGTCAAATCCGTCAATACGCTGGCATTCTGTTGGAGATGCGACTTCTTCAAAATGGTTACCACACTGACAATTCGACTCTGCCTGCAGGAAAAACATACAGCAAATATGAAGTGAATTATCCTCAAAAATTGTTTCATGTCTCAATCATCACGGTTTCCCAGCTAGAAGTCCCGATTAGTTAGTTTACTTGGATTATCACATATGCGTGTACATCAAGGATTTAGTATATCATAAAACTCCATTCTCAATCCACGTTGTTCTTAGATGAAGTTTTGAAAATATTTATTTGACTCGTGGGATGAAATAAATGCTAATACTTGAAAAGGGGGGAAGGAGTAAGAACAAAGTGATATCATTGTTTTGAAAGTAATCCTAAAAACAAAATGAACAGTTGTGATTAAATATGCTTTCATTTCTTTAGTTCAGGGTGGTACGAATGAAATGAATTAGCAATCACCAACCTGTTCAAACGATGCAGCCGCAAAATGCCGATCACACACCGTTCCTACCTCTGTATATGGCTCTTCCGGAATGGCTGCATCACTTAGGGGAGAATGGGTAACACTTGGATCAAATTGACTCCACGGTGAAGATATCGTGTAAGCATAGAAAAGAAGTCTCTTGCAATGTGCAATCACGATCTCCTAATCCCCAGTAAAGCAATGCTTCCGTGCAGGAGCAGTTTGTAGCCCCATAAAGAGGTGGGGCAGGGGGAGTTAAGGGCTAGTGGGCTATGCTGCCACCCAACCTCAGTTTCATAGGCACAACAGTAGTTGATCCTGTGAAAGTAAAGGTTGTTGTCGCCATACGAGTCCCCCAGAGAGAAAGTCCATGGGCAAATGTATTCTTTTTTCCCTCCACCCCTTTCTCTGTTGGCCCTGCAGTTTTATAATATGAGAAACCATGGTTACTACCGCTAGATTTTAGTTTGTACTCGTATTTTTAAAGCATCGAGGCGCCGACAAATGCTTCTTGCTGGTACGACAGGGCGATAGAAATCATTGCCGATGTATCATCCCCTAGTCACTGCAATTTCTCACATGCATGCCAAAGAACTGAAATTAATGTAGGTCTATATGCAATAATTAAATATAATGTAACTGAAAACTGTATGTATTAAAGAAGAAATAATGAACTAAAGCGCCAGAACGCACAATTGAATATGTTTTTGAATATAAATCCCTGCAAATATATTCTTTAGGAAGCAACCTTTCTAGCTGCCCAGTTCATAGGCTTTGATGGGTGTCATACCTGTGTTCAAAGTTAACTTCCATCCTTGAAGTGGTCGTGCAAAACCCTTCAAGTATCTCCTAGATTTTCCTCTCTGAGTCTGTTTCACACTACATACTCGTGTGTGGACCTGTCCGTCGCAGGCAGTTGCAGCGGATAGACTGAAATGTAACTATGGAAGCTTTTATGGCTGGAGTAGTGTGATCGTTTCTTTAGTGACATATCATTTGCATGGACTTACGATACGGACTCCACGCAAACTACATGCGGTTCTTGGATGCCCTGAAATGCAACGTCCGCCTGTAGACATGTTCTCTTCTCCGATGGAGGGGTTCCATCAGCGTTTTGCTCACCCAAACGCTTCTTGCTAACTGAAGTTGGTGTGGGAAGTTGGTGGGAATCGGAAGCTGGTGTGGCCTTGGCATCCTCATCTTCTTTTAACGCCTGCTTCAATTCTGTGAACGAAGTATTGTCGATTGGATGGAGTTTTAATTGTTTTGCAAAGTTTTTGGGGAGATTTATGGTACGGATGCGCCATTTCGTGTTTCTTACGTGATTCATTTTCACACAAGTCCCAAAGAACCTTGGTCTTCTTTCCAAAGCTTTACTTGCACGCAGTGTCCCAAAGGTCAGGAAAAAAACGTTTTCGTGAGGTTAGTCGATTGTCTGCACTAATGTCCCCATTTTGAGATTCAATTGATTCACATTTATTGACTGATCATTTTGAAAGAAATTTTATAATTGTAAACGTAATGCAATGTGAAGATTATTTATCGTTATACTTAACAGCATTCGCCTTAAAAAGGTAATGTCCTTATGTTCTGACTTTTGGGACAATTTATTATTATGATCAAATCGTTCATATGGAGGCAGAGTTTTGCGATCTTACTATTCTTAGCTTGTCTCCATTACATCCGACTTCTGTAGATCCTATCCTCGCTTCTGTAAAATATTTTCATCTCATTTTGGAGAGATCATTTCGATCTCGTGTGTAATTTTATGCAAATTTTATTCATTTTCATTGCAAATTTTTTGTACCTTTATTGAAGATTTATCTCACCTCTTTCCAAATTATTGGCAAGGTCGATGTGATTCTTATTCCGCAAGACCTCAACAAAAATGGAGAAGGCACCATCACCGCTTTGAGGCAAGCACTTCAGGAGGAACAGGAACTTTTCCTCCGACTTCCTGTTGATGACTTCCAAGTACTCAGTGTAGGTGACGATCTTTTTGAGAAACAGATCGAGTAAGACCTCATCGATCTTGATGAACTGCAGCGCATTCAAGTAACGAGCGAGGATCAACGCCACGCAGGCATTTACGCTTTTTTCTCCTGTAACGCACAAAGAATTCTTCTATAACATGCAATATACGATTATCATATGCAGTCACGTTTCCTCACCCATTTACGAATGGAAGAGATTAGTCGAATTTCTCCATGCAGGAAGTCAACTTTGCGTTCGCCACATCGTAGTACAATCTAGAAAATCCTATAATCGGTAAATACAATCGATGAAATGTTTCATCGTAAGCTTCACTAATGCTGTAAAAAAAAGGGGAGGACAGAATTGACTTGGTACCGATGTAGCCGTTGGTAAGAATGTACTCCAGTTGATACGATTATCATTCCTCATGATATAGTCGTGACTATATCCAGCATAGAGAATATTCTAGAAAGTGAATACAATTAACATGTCATGCCTCCCAATGTATCCACATCGAAATTCTGTCTAATTGTGCGAAAATTGATTTCCACCTGCGTCCATTTAACCAAGGGACTTGTAGAACTCAGGTACCCACACTCGAGCCCGAGGTGGAAGCCATCCTAAATCCGTGATAATATAAATGGTTGCCCTAACCTTTCGTTATGGAAAGGGGAGCTCGAATCCTTTATAATAGGTTGCGATGACTTTTTTTTTAGTTTACCTTTAGAGTTGACTGCACTGTTGTTTGCAGCTCACTTCCACAACACCACTTCCATTAGATTATTGAGAGTTCAGTGAAAGCACAATGCTTGTCCAAGGTATGGTATGCGTCTGTGTTTAACGGAGTTCGCCCACAGGCGTTTCAGCTTCCATTGCGCCGACTTTCGGATGTGAAACATCATCACGCCTCACTACCACGAACTACTGTGCCTAACGACGCGATGCGCTGGTACGAATGCTTCCTTAGTGGGGCCTTGGAAGAGGATAGCGGAGGAGAGGAGTGAGTGAGGCTTTACTGACGTCATGGAAGATACGCTGAGAGGAGGACGTGTGCCTGTTATCTCGTGGGTACTCCATGAGAGACATCCCTCCCATCTCGAGCGCTGCTAGTTTCTTTAGAATTCACTAGATGTCAGGAACACCTCTTACGGGAGGATGGAGAAGCCTTCTCCCTTTCCTGCCTTACAGTAGGACATCATTACAGTACATCAGCTTGAACCCGGGGTCGGGTGGAGTTAAGTTTTCTGTAAGTCGACAAGAAATCTCATATTTCACATGTTGTCAACAGTGAAGAGCTTACGGCTTAGATCTATTATGGATTTTGGAATTTTCCGCACAATCCGACAAAATAAGATTTCAGGGGATAGATGAAAACAAGGATTCGAATTCTGGGTTCATTTCTGAATCTCGAATGTTCTGGGTTAGCACAGTATATCGATCGAAGTCGCTCTTGGACATTTAGGGGGAATCGTCCGAGAAGGCCGAATTTTGGCAAAGGGGTTGAAACTGATGTTGCAGTTGTACCTTCCACAGGCATCGGTTCCGGGTGTCTCGCGGAAATGACCCGTGCGGGGCTCGAAGTAGCGAGTTTAAAAAGACGGGGAAAAAGAAAAAGAAAAACCTACGGACAATCCGGACTACCGATGAGTTGCTGAGCGACTGGGGCTTGTGGAAAGTTAACAGAAACGTGTGAACTGGTTATCTGATGACGAACTGCTCCTATCCGCGGGTGAACTGTCGACCATTCGGGCTTTCGACGAGTTACCGTGGGGGAGAACTTGAATGAGTTGTCGAGCTCTGGAGCTAATGAACTGCTTTGCACAGCTATGTCCAAGGTGAGATGTCGAGCGACTGGAGCTGGCGATCTACCTACGCGGACACCCGAAATGAGTTATCGAGCACTCGGGCTTTCGACGAACTCCTTCGAGTGGCGTCCTCCTTTAACGAGCTGGGCTCGGAGAGTGATCGGTCGAGGAACCTTTCATCTCAAGAGACTATTGCGTGGAATGAGTGACTTGTCTTGGAGGTTGTTTGGGTCCTGCTACGATGCGCGACGACTAAGCTTTGCGCTGGATCTCCGGGGCTTTTATAGTAGTTGAAACGACCGTTATTGGCGTAATTTTTGGAAGAAAACGGGGTTCACGTGATAAGGGGGTGACAGGGTAAAGAGAAAAACATTGCCAGCTTCTTAGAAATGGTTCAATGGTTTTGGCCCCAATAAAATATTTTACAGCTTCGTGGAATCTGTGATATCCAAATGTATGAGGACAGATTCCGTTCCGGATTTAGCCCCATTATCTGAAATAATAGGGCGAACGTGGATGCTTATATTGTGGGGTGTCACAGATCGAATGAATACGGAACAAAAGCGTTGCGAGTGTACGAGGTGTCCCAGATTTCCTGCCCTATTTTCATTTGCTTTCATTTTATAAGCGAGCCAAGGTATAGGGCTTCCTCACGACAGAAACAGCAGACAGATTTAAGATTACTTGTCATGAGAAAAAACATGAATTATGAATGTAATAAATGAAATTTACACCCCTTTCGCTATGAATGAAAAAATTGAAAATGTGTCAGGAAATCTGAGACACCCTTTACAAGGACACCCTTTACAAGGACACCCTTTATCATTACTAGACCAAGCCACGAAACGAATGGAGCCTATCCACTGCATCCCAAAGCAATAGAGAAAAAAAAACTGTCCTTACGTTCCGAACGATGAGACCAAGTTTCCTGGATCGCTATGTAAAATGCATTCCATTTGAGTTCGGGTTGGAACGGGAATGGAACCCGACGACGCCTCCAGCCGGGACAGCCGTCCACTTGCACTCCACGTGGCTTCCCGCCCTCGCAGAGTCATTACCTTGAGATTCCCCTTCCACCCAGCTCTGCTTCATTCAACAGAATTGTATCGGGTTTTCTCCTTTGAACCACTGAAATCTCGCGATTCACTTCACTTTGAGCTTTTGAATTCACGCAGTGAACGCCCGTCATTCAAAACTCAATTTGGCTGTTTCACTTTGAAGACCTAAAGGAAACCATTTTTCAAAGACTTTCCCTTTCTTGAACCCGCCCCCTCTTCTCTATGGGTCCCACTTAAAACTTATTGACCTAAAACCACTAAACCTGCTTGCCAATTGTTGCATTGATCAGGTTAATAGTTTCTTAGTTACCGTCGGACAACCAAAGAGTGAAACACGGACGGGACCATACATGATCTCTTACTTTTCAGGAAAGGAACCCGAATAAAACGATATTTCGCCTTCAGAAACGGCCATTTTAAAGCTTTATGCTCTCATGCCTTCTTAACTCGTTTTGCAAGTCCAATTCTGAAGTGGGCCATCTTCTAAATCACTGATAATCAAGAAGACTACATGCCTTGTAGGTAGAGGTCGGAAGACGTAAGTGTTATGTGTAGCATTCCCGACACAAGTTCTCATAGCAACCATTTCTACGCTACCATGTAGAGGTGCTGCATTCCACTCCGCAAAGTAGCTAGATCCATCCCCCAAGAAGGCTAGTAGAGGACAGAAAGCAGTGGTTGCAGAGGCGGAACCGCGCCCAAGTCCCGGGTCGTCCGCGCATTCGCATTGAGGTCTATGTCCTGGAAGACTAAGGGGGATTCATGCCTTCCCCTCCGTGACCAAATTTCAAATCCAAAATTTTGCAATAAAAATTCTAATTTTGGTGCCAATTCGCCACAAACGAACTCAGCCTTCATCTCGTTCAAACCAACCGGCTTGCCAATTATTGCATTGACCGGGCTTATACTTTACTAGCGAGTTTGTTTGCCCTTCGGGCAAACAAACTCGCTATGGACGCGCCTTCGACGCTCTGCGATATAAGGCATCTGTTTTCGATGCTCACACCTACTAATGTGGTCAAACTCCTTTGTTCATGGGTTCAATTCTCGCACCTTAAAGTAAAGGTGTTAAAGAACATATTATTAAAGACGCCGTCATTTGTAGCATAAGGATTACCAATTAAAAATTGTAATTGTGCCGTTTAGTGTTCCATTGGTGTATTTAATTCCTGTCTATGGTCGAGGCACTCTTAATAGCATATCAATCTCCAAAAAAGTAGGAGTAATAGCAGCCATATAAACCACATAAGCCACTTGAGAGTTATAACGCTAAGATAGTTAATATTTAAGATCGTTGTAGGCCTGAGCAATCGTCCAAGGGTTGGATATAAGCCTGCTGAATCATTCCCATCAGGGCAAGTACCGCCAATGTCGAACTGTATCTGTAGTATGCAAGCCAACAGCTACTTATTCTCCATCCCGTTTCCTTTGAGGAGTGTGCATGAGAGTAGTATTGGCCTAAGCATCCATCCATGGGGAAGGCCTAGGCCTGCGAAATTTGTCCCCAGGGCGTGTACCCCCCCCCCCCATCCCTCCCTCCGAAGCCTGAATACCTCTAGAGTGAATAACGCAGCAATAACACACACATCCTTCAATGACTGAGGAGGAAAGAACGTGTTCATGAGAATGGCGTAAGCCTACACCTCCATCTGCGGGGAGGCTAGGCAGCAGACACATGAATTCATTACTTCTGAATTTCAAGCCGATAATTCCAATTCGACTGTAGGGAACTTCATCGTTAATTTTATATTCTGGCGAAAGGACTCTATGGCAGTCCCTTTCTCAAACTCTTCTAAAGTTTCCATACAGTTGCCTATGAAAAAACCGTATATGCAGCCCGTAGGTATACCTTTCCGTTTTTTTTGAAGTGTGAGCATTGGCCTAATCGTCCTTAAGTGGATTAAACATAGCCACCTCATATTGAAATGTCAATGGAACATCTTCTACTGTTTCCCTGCAAGAAAAATAAATAGAACCCATTCGTATCTGCAAGCGTACCAGTACGTGCCAACTCGTGCCCTTCTCTTCACCAATGACCCAACGGCATAGCTTGAACGCCTAGCGCGTCAGGTTAAGACAAAAGGATGCTCGGTAAGATGGGCCGAGAATTTCCTCGATGCGAATGGGTTGGGCAAGATTCGAGCAGGCCTCTGCTTCTGTCCAAGGGTTACCTATAGGCCTGCTAAGTCAATCACCTCACGGCACGTGCCTTCTATGTCAAACTTCATCCAAGGTGTGGAATGATACAGCTATTTATTTTCTCTCCTGCTTCCATGAAGGAAGAAAATATATGAGAATGGTATTAGCCTAAGCATCCATCCATGGGTTGGGCCTAGGCCTGCGAAATCAGGAGAATGCCCGTTCTGGTCCACCCCCCACAGCAACCGACGACCAAACGTTGGTCGTTGTGCGTTAAGTGCTGA